ACTCAAATTAAATATATATATATATATATATATATATATATATATAGATAAGTCCTGGATTTTTTCAATATATTGATTTTCAATACAATACAAATATCCTCATGAAAAAATTCGAGTGTTTTTAACAAAAAATATTAGTGATATGGATATATAAATTATTACAGGTAAATAATTTTTACTTCTCAATTTTAACCTTTTTAGTTAAGTTTTTATTACTCTTTACACTGGTACATAATCCATTCCTTTATAATTTTACTAAATAATCTGTAATGCCCATCATTAATTAATGTTAATCAATAATTTTAAAAAACATTGTATTTGACAGAATAAACCTGATGATGGAACGTATCTAGTTCCCAAACGTCGTTATTAAATATCTTCAAAAAACAAATTGTTTTTTTTATTATTGGATTTACTGTTCGGAAAAGAAACAACCAATATATATATATATATATATATATATATATATATATTATTACTTACAATGTTTATGTCCATATTCTTGAAAATGTACTGGATTCTTCCGATAACACTTTTCAGCATATCTGCATTCCCCTCTTGGTGAATTGGCTGAAAGAAAAAAACAATAAAATACACCATTAAACAATACACTAAGTAAATAATAAGCATATAAAAAACAATCAATACATTATTAATTAATGAAAATATACCCAAAAATATAATCCATGTAATAAATAAAAAAATGTTGTATGTAAAAACACTTGTGTAAAAAACATCGAATATACATTCTGGCACATAAAATTATTAATTGAATCTTAGTAATATATTTATGTACGTCATTAGATTTGAAACAACTAAAAGTAAACTCTAAATTCATTATTTTCATGTCAGCAAACAAACTATGTATTACAGTAACACTCTTCTATCTGTGATAGAAAAAAATCAGAAATTAAGATAATTTTAACAAAACTATATGAAACTGTATTATAAATCATATAATCCATACCTACAGAATTCCTTTTCATTTTAAATATATTACAAACACTTTCAATTAAAACATTTTTATGCATAAAATCTTTCAATGAGGTTAACCTAAAAATGTCATTATTAACCTAAAACTTCACTTTAAATTTAACTAATTAAAAAATACATAATAAAATCACAAAATCGCAAAAATACAAAATAAAACTAAAATCTAATTATTAATTTCCGAATTACATTTCATCACTGTTTAATAATTATTTTATTTTTATATACATTTATTATTTTATTGGCGTTGGCGCCGAATTAAAACTGACATCTTGCATCTTGTGCAATGGATGACTGTTGAGTGTCAATGACACATTGACACAATAAATTAAAATAATTCTTTTTTAAATTTTAAATGATTATAAATATTGTAAATATAAATTATATTTCAAATTTAAATAATATATATGCGTTTTAATTATTATTTTAGACCTAATTACTTTTATAAATAAATTGACAGTTGAATGTCAAAAAGTAATGGCGGTCGACTTCAGCGCGGTAAATTTAAATGCGATTTTCTGTATAAAACTGTTTAATAAAAAATAAATAAAATATTTTAAATAATATATAACTATATATTTAAAGTTATTTAATTATTTTACATTTTAAATCAGTTCTATCATAATTTATCTAATAATTTACACCTTAAAATTTCAATATATCTATAGATAAACAAGTATAAACATGAATAAACTTATCACTGTTTAATTGTTATTTTATTAACTTCCCATTGGGTAAGTTATTGTAATCGTCCAAAAATCTAAATTAAAAATATTTGCAAATCTTCACGTTTCACAGGTTTCTGAACATTTTGGCATACCTTAGAGAAAAGTAGATGAGTGTGTGTGTGTGTGGATACAATTTTTCGTCCACGTTTCCGGGCGCACGGATCAACCGATTTGACTGGTTCTAAAAACATTCGATTCCTATCGATAGGGAAATGTGCTGATTAGTTTTTGGCAAAGGCAGATCCAGCCGTTTTGGAAATACGGAGCAAAGAGCACAGAAAATAAAAATCGAGTTTGGCACTGATTTGAATAATGTAAAAAGCATTCAATTCGTAATGATGGGGAGAAGCAGTGATTAGTTTTTGGCAAAGACAGGTCCAGCCGTTTTGGAGATATGGAGCAAGGAATGCAGAAAATATAAATCGAGTTTGGCATCTGATTTGGATAATCTAAAAAACATTCAATTCGCAATGATGGGGAGAAATAGTGATTAGTTTTTGGCAAAGGCAAGTCCAGCCGTTTCGGAGATACGCAGCTAAATGTGCAAAAAATGGCAGTTTTTGAGAGAAAAACTATGTATTTGCTATGCGATCAGGCGCATGGATAAAAGAAGAAGATCAGGCGTTTTACACATAAAACCTAACTTCACATATGTGTCATCAACGAGACTTCAGAAAGTTGCACTTATGATAAAATTGTTATTTGACTTTTGTGCGTTCTGTAGGTTAGGTTTTATGTGTAAAACGCTCGATCGCATAGCAAAAACCTTATTTGGCTTTTGTGCGTTTTGTAGGTTAGGTTTTATGTGTGAAACGCCTGATCGCATAGCAAGTACATAGATTTTTGATAGTTAACAGTTATATTTCAATTTAAATATGCTTTTGTATTTAAATATGTGTTTGTATTTGTATATGTTTTGGCAAAGGCAGGTCCAGCTGTTTCGGAGATACGTAGCTAAAGGTGCAAAAAATGACAGTTTTTTAGAGAAAAACTATGCATTTGCTATGCGATTAGGTGTTTTACACATAAAACCGACCTTCACGTATGTTTTTCAACGAGACAGAAAGTTGCACTTCTGATAAAATTCTTATTGGACTTTTGTAGCCTATTATACTATTATACCTATAGATACCTATAGATTAAAAATTATGATCATTTATGTAGAGCTTTGGACAAACTGTGATCATTTTTCGATCATTGTGGTAAATTTTTATCATTTTTGTTCATAACCTTCGGAGGGTTAACCGTAAATAACATTTCTAGGACAAAAATAATAATCCAATTGTCCCAACTTTTACAGAATTAAGAGTATCTATTAAACTATAAATTTAAAATTTTTAAAATGATAATCAAAATTGATCGAAATGTTGATAGATAAAGTATCTAAATATTTATCTAACGTTATATAATTATAACAAACAATAAAAATGGTATTTATTGTTAATCTATGGCGTCAACTTTGAACTAATTTGCATCATTTTATAAAAAAGTATTGATGACAATAAAAACTACCCAAAATAATTACAGTCTAAGCGTGAAATTCATATAAATTAATACCAAGTATCGTTTAGACTGTGACAGTACTTTCAATTTTCGCAGATAACCAAAAAATTTAATTAACACATTCTAAACATAACTTTCTTATGAATTGTTTATACTGTGACCTTCGATTTAATTTTTATTGATAATTAGATGTCTTATCTGCTGTTATCTTATCGATAATATATATCTTAAAGATAATTTTAAATAACGCAATGTCATAATAAATTCACGCAATGTTCAATAGTATAAATTTTAAAGTAGTGAAAAATGATTAAGTGATAATTTATATGTATTAAAAATTAAAATAGTATTGGGTGTTATAATAAGTTTAAATAAATAATTGTGAGTAAAATAATATTTTAATTTATTGACTTGCCAAAGAATAAGTATATGTTTTCGCCAGAAAATCCGATTTGCCAATTTTGTGTTTTCAAGTCGTTCTGAATCGTTTGACACAAAAATTGGAAGAACTCTATGTGTGTAGTAATAGTAAGTGTGTAATAATTTGCGCGACGACCGGAAGAGCCTTTTCTTTATGATGAGCAGATTGGGATAAACAGACAGTGGAAGGCAGGCCCATGGTGCAAAAATTATTTTTTTGGAAATTAAAAAAAAAATTGAAGAAAAAATCTCTTCTCAAAAACAATCGTTTTATCAACACAAATAGAAAGTTTTTTGAATCATTTAAATCGGGTGCTTATTTCTCTCAAAAACTGCTATTTTTGCACATTTAGCTCGGTATCTCCAAAACGGCTGGGCCTGTCTTTTCCAAAAACTAATCACCACTTCTCCTCATCATTACAAACTGAATGTTTTTTGGGTCATTCAAATCGGATGCACCGTTCTCTCAAAAACTCGATTTTAATTTTCTGCAATCTTTGCACCATATCTCCGAAACGGCTGGACCTGCCTTTGCCAAAAACTAATCAGCATATCTCCCTATCAATAGGAATTGAATACTTTTTACGGAAAGTTAATATTGACTATTCAAATTAAATTTTATCGTCATCATATCTTATGGATTATGCCGATTATTTACATAGATAGTAAGGTCCATGCTACTTGATTTAAGACAAAATGCCACTTGCACCTAATTTTGAAAATCAATACGAATTGAATATTTTTTGGATCATTCCAATCGGATGCTTCGTTCTCTCAAAAACTCGATTTCTATTTTCTGCACTCTTTGCTCCGTATCTGCAAAACGGCTGGACCTGCCTTTGCCAAAAACTAATCAGCACATCTCCCTATCAATAGGAATTGAATACTTTTTACGGAAAGTTAATATTGACAATTTAAATTAAATTTTATCGACATCATATCTTATTGATTATGCCGATTATTTACACCAAGAGTAAAGTAAGTTTATGGTACTTGACTTAAGACAAAATGCCACTTGCACCTAATTTTATTAAGTGACGCAACAATATAAATTATTAAAAACATTTTTACCAAAAAATATTGAAGTAACGCTTACCATGCGTATCCAGGCCTAAGTAAAAATGTATGAGAAAGAGTTGTGTTAGGTTCGACCGACATAGCAAGCACTCATAGAATTGAAACTATTCGGCAAATATTTGTATGTTTAACAAATTTGTTCAAAAATGAATAATTTGCAAAAATTTATAATATTATAACCACTCACAAATTTATAGATTAATCTTATTAAGTCGATTATAAAGTTCATGCAACTTACCTCAAGACAAAATACCACTGACACCTAGTTTTATATTCCAGATCATGGATCTATCCATAAACCAATCCGATTACATAATTCTAGGCGGGATTCTATTGATCCTGGTCTATTGGCGAGTCACAAAATCCCAAAGAAGATTCTCCAAGACGATAGTTCCGTACCTGAAACCTGTCCCGATCCTTGGAAGCACCTGGAGAAACTTTTTCCAGTTGGAAAATCAGATTTATACCTATGGAAGAGCTTATGAGAATTTTCCTGATAGCAGGTGAGATAAAAGACATTATGAAGGTTGGGTAAAAGTTATATTACCTGAAATTGGAAATAGTGAGAAGTTTATGTTGTCACGTAAAAATCCAACTTGGCCTTTGAAGTAGTTCCTAATAGTTTGATACTAAATATGGAAAAACTATGTTTGTGTACATGTGAGTCGATTTTTGACCTCGTCGCCGTTTTCTCAAAAAATAGCTGCACCAATTTCAAAATTTTTAAAACATTTGATTTAACTCAATAAGCATCTGGCATTAGCCAGATTTTCGAGACAATCGGCCAAGCAGTTTTTATAGAATTAGCAGTAAAGTGCAAAATTTTCTTGTCCATGTTTTTGTAATATAAATCCGTCTTGCTAGTCATTCTGAATCCTTTGATACCAAATTTGGAAAAACTATGTGAGTCGATATTTGACCTTTCCTCGGCGTTTTATCAAAAAAATGGCTGCACCGATTTCCAAAATTTTAAACCCATTTGATGTAACTCGATAAGCACTCGGCATGGTTCGTTTTTCAAGACAAGACAAGCCGTTTTTTACAACTAGCAGAAAAGTACAAATGTGAACAATAGTCTACGTTTTAACAAAAAAAAATCTGAACCAAAACTGAAAGTTCAAAAAATAATCGAAAGATATTGGTTGGAAATCGTGCTGATTACTTTTTGGCAAAGATCGGTGAAGACGTTTCTACGTAATTGGTTAATGGTTAATTTGATAAACCGTTGTTTGACAATAAAATTGCTGGTCTCACTAGACGTACTAAAATATAAGAGGCCTACGAAAAGTGCTTTAATTACAAAAATTAAATTAAAGTTTGTATTAATCGGCCGCACTTTTAGAATTGTGTTGATTTTTCAAAAATATCGAAAAAAGCTAACACGTTTAAAAAATTTGTCCATTTTGAATAATCTGCAATTGTTTCTCGCAGTATAAGTATCTACAGCAATTTGGTATACCTATAAACACCTCATAAATTGATATATGGATTTATTACTTACACATTCCGAGAAGATCATGATGCAACTTATTCTAAGGCAAAATACCACTTACACCTATTTTTTTAGATTTTCAGGTTTCTACGAAGTTTTAAAACCTGTATTGCTGATACGAGATCCAGAGCTGGTCAGGCAAATGGGCGTGAAAGATTTTGATCATTTTGTGGACCATAATTTTTTCATCGACGAGACCACGGACCCACTTTTGGGCAATATGATGATCGTAATGAGAGGTAATTGTTATATATATATATATATATATATATATATAATAAATATATATACATAGCTGGGCACCGTTAATCAAAAAGTTAACTTCGTTAATCGTTAATCCGCTACAAAAAAAGTTAGCTTCGTTAAACGTTAAAGCGTTACATTTCGGAATAATTAACGCAAGTTAACGTTAATCGTTAATCCGTTAATATGTGTAAAATTACATTTTTATATTGTTGCGTTAGTGAACTTAAAAAACTTATTGGTTTAGGTTCTGGAAGTTAACAGGTTATGAATAAAACAAAATACTTGTATAATTCAAATGTGTAATTCAACCCCTTAATGGCGCGACGCGCTTTATGCACACACCGTGATAATAACGCTATTGGTCAACTTTCTGTTTTTATGATTGCATATTGTTTTTACAAGAATTTTTTTCTAAATAAAGGAAAAGAGTTTTTTTGCGAAAAATAGGAAACGCGCGACGGGTTAAGCATCGGGCATAAGGTGCATATTCCCCTTCATGAGCATTAACATGTTGAAGTTCTCGTCTGAAAGCGAGGTTCGTTTTGGTGTCAAAATGTCTTTACCCGTGGAAAACAAACGTTCAACTGCAGCGCTTGAGGGTATAGCAGTATTGTATTTAATAAATTGATTTATGAATATCTGTTCCCCGAGGAATGCAGCATCGTTGAACAAGTCTTTTGAACATGTTGGCACTGTTCATCATTCACGAGTGGTCCAAATCTTTTCTCTATGTCATTTAATAAGGCATTGGCTAAAGCTGTACCGTGCGGTAAATAGTAATAATTGGCAGGGCCGTGCCTGGGTATGTGGCCGCCTGCGTGCGAGCCAATATGTTCTCACGAAAAAAATCGTCTTCTCGACAATTTTCAAGTTTTCCCGACATTTTAAGTCATTCTGAATCGTTTGAAAGCCGATTTTGGATTTTCGGCAACGTTTTCTCAAAAACGGTTAAATCCAATTCAAAAGTTTAAAAGTCATTTGATGTAACTAGATAATGACTAGCGCCTGTCAGTTTTGTACGACGATCGGCCAAGCTGTTTCTAATCAACAGAAAAATATAAAATTTATTGTACACGTTTTAGCCAAAAATTCTGCATCGATTTTAAAAATTCAGGAACTGTTTGAAAGATATCATTTAGGAATCGTGCTGATTACTTCTAAGAGATCGGTCGGTTCGTTTCTTCGTGTTTAATTGGTGAATATTGCTTTGCGATGATATTTATAAAACTTTTTTGGCGATAGTGATCATGGTCTCTAAGATAACTAAATATTTCGACCCACATTAAGTCATTTTAATTTTTAAAATATGTACTATCAAAGATTGCAAAAATGAGCGGCGCTTTTTTACGTGAGTCAAAATTTCATCTTTAGTGGACCTTTTCTCAAAAATGCACAATCCCATTTGAAAAATCGTCAAAATTCGTAAATTCGATAAGCACTCGTGCTGCTTAGTTTTGCCTTTAGAATTTTCAAAAAAGTCTCAAATTTTTAATTAGTGAATTGATTTTAAAAATTCAAAAACCATTACAAACGTTTTCCATTTGAGAATCTTGCTGATTAAATTTTGTCAATAATCGACGAGTCGTTTTTCAGTTATTGATTAACAAATTGCTTTGGAAATTTGGATCTTGTTTTTAATTTACTACAGTTTCTTTCTTGTTCAATAATATATAATTTTTAAACTATTTATAAAACATAACTAATATTTTTAGAAAATTTGTACAAAATTGAATAATCTGCGATAGTTTTTCACATTGCAATGTACTCATGAATTAATATATTTTCATTGTTAAGTCGATTATTAACACATGTTGGATACTTCATGCAACTTGATTTAGGCAAAGTTGCCACTTACACCAAGTTTATAACTTTTAAATTATTTAGAAACAGAGTCGCATTCAATAGGGCCGCCTTTGGCTGATTTTTACTACGGTAATTTTGGTCTTTTAGATATATACAGCGGACTTTACGGCAGCGAATGAGTTCAGCGGACTTTGAGCTTGGCCGCCTCTTAATCCAACAGTCTTTTAATTTGGCCGCCTTTTAATTCAGTAGACTTTTAATGCAACAGCTATTTATTTCGACCATTTTTTGTTATGGCCGTCTTTGAATTTGTTCTTTTTTTCATTTGGCCGCCCCTCGGCCGTCTCAAAAGGCGGCCGCCTGCGTGCGGTGCACGCACTGCACGCTGGCCAGGCACGGTCCTGGGCATTGGATTAACGATTAACGGACTTCTGGCATTTTAACGGAAGTTAACGTGTCCGTTAACATTTTCAAAAGTTAACTTAAAAGTTAATCCGTTAATCAAAATGTTAACTTCGTTAATTACCGATTAACGGATTAACGAGTTAATGCCCAGCTATGTATATATATATATATATATATATATATATATATATATATATATCTTAAAAAAATCACAAGTGCTTGCCATGTCGACCGAACCTAACACAAAGCTTTCTCATACATTTTTATTTATTGTTAGGTTTGGCAATGCATAGTAAGCGTTACTTCAATATTTTTTATTACAAATATATTTCATTAAATTTATTGTTACGAACAAAACTCTATGTGTAAGTGGCATTTTGCCTTAAAACAAGTTGAAATATATGTAAATAATATTATTTTATAGTGCTTTATGTTATTTTATAACAAGTACTTGGATATTTTACTTAAAGCATGCACGTTACAAATGGACTTTACTAACGAGCAAACTAAATTCAGACAGAAACTAAAAAGAAGGTTCCCACAAGTGTATAGCATATGTATTGAATGTAGATATTTACGAATTTCCTTGCTTCCTGGGGCTCAAATGCTTCCAAATTGACAAAAAACAATTCTCTGAAAGTTTTAGGTCTTAATATTAACTTAAAGATAGTTCGCACTCCAACCAAAGTTTCTCGATTCTTCTTAAGTGAATACTTATTTCTTAAAATGTTATTTGATTTAATATTTAATATATTAATATATTACGTTTCTGTTGTAAATTTTTATATATGATCAAAATAATTATTTTGATCATAAATAAAAATTTGCTTAAGCAAATACAACTAAGCTAACTTATAAAATTTAAAAAAACAAATAGTTTTACCCAATGCTATTTCTATAAGAAACTTCATTTGAAGTGCAGACTATCTTAAAGTTAATATTAAGAGTTAAAATTTTCAGATAATTCTTTTTATCATTTTGGAAGCATTTGAGCCCTTGGAAGCAAAAACTTCCATATTAGAAACCACAAACACACATAAATATATTGGCAATACTGCCCTAATAAATGTTTATAATTAAACCACTTTTCATAGGCCTATAATATTTTAGTTCATCAGTACAGCGAAGTTTCATTAACATTTTCAAACAATAATTTTGATGAAACTTCCATAGAGAAGCACATATTATCTAATCATTAAATATTAGAAAAATCATATGTGATGCATACATTTTTAAATAATTAGTCAATTTTTTATACTTCATGAAATAACATACTAGAATTACAGCTTTCTGCTATAACTCGTTCACTCTGAAAAGTTAGTTAAAAAAAAGGATTATAAAATGCTTCTATAAAAATCTAATCATTTATTATTCCAAAGTTTATATATATGATCTATATATTTTATATATACATAGTAAAATTACAACTTTCCATAATGTTCTTGTGCCTGTTCTCAAAATTTATTGAATTTGGAATCGAAGAATTGACACAAAAACATTTCATGATTCTAGAATATCCATATTAAGGACTATTCTAATATATATGAATATATATATATATATAAGAAATTCTAAAAATCCATATTAAGAACCAACTGAATACATATAAATACATTAGGGTGTTCCTTAATATGGATGTAATCAAAAGATACTAGAAAGTTTATGGTATATATATTTTATTATTTTAATAAAGACAAGAAATAAAAGTAGCAGCCATATCATATATTTTTCTTAACTAACTTATTTAATCTTCTACTTCTACAATTTCTTCCCTAAGACAGTTGCGGTACGCACTGGAGTCTTCTTAACGCACACTGATACTTCTGCAGAACTAACAGATAAATCTGCAAAACTATCTTGTGTCTTATTGTTAGTTGATGAAATCAATCTTGGCAATTTGGTATGCTTAATCCTCTTCTCATGTGATATAACATGTTGCTCAGGCGTAGCAATTAATTTGTTTGCCTTGTTATATTTATTTATCGAAGCAGGAATGGTGGGTGATTGTTTAGCAGTGCTCAGAGCAGTGTATGCAGAACTTTTGTACGCTGTTGCTGGTAGTAAAAGACTAGTGTTTGAATCTATGTTTTCTTTTTGTTGTTTATTTTGATCCACTTGGTGTACTTTTGGTGTCTTGCAAACACTGGTCTTGACTGGTGTGTAGTTTCCAATAAGTGGCACCTTTGGACTGTTCTTAATGTATAATCCAATGGGACTGACTATATGACCAAAATTATTCCTGGGGCTTTGCACTTTTTTGCAAGGTAAGTTGGGGACCCTAAACTCAGCCTCCAACTCCAAATTCGTTTTTGGTATTGGATAAAATACTTTTTTGGGGCGTCCAACAGGTAACAAGGATGTTGGAGTTATGGTTTTGGAAGAAATATCACTAGTAGGAGTGATTGGAGAAAATTTTGGGTAAGGATTGGATGCAGGAGCTTTTGGAGTTAAGGTTTTATTGATACTTTTATTGTTTATAGGCGTTGAAGGTGTTACAGGTTTTGTGTTCAGTTTCATAAGATACTGCATTTCATCAAACGTATTATCAAATTCTAAAGAATCATTTGGATAGTCTGTTACAACACTAGGTGAGGCTACAGATACTGCTCCACCCAACTTCTGGTGTGAATTATTACCCATATGGTCTGTTAAATCATGTAAAGTAGTTGAGTCTAAGAATGAATCCAGTATATTTTCACCCAATAAGTCTTGACCATCAGATAAATCAATTGAATGATTTGTATCATCAGATGAATTTTGATTAGTAACATCTCTTGCTGACTGAAAATCAAAAGAATCTGCACTAGATTGCTGAGCAGTTTCATAAATAGACGTTGCACAGCTATCAGAAGACCCACCATCAGCAATTACAGGCATTTGAGGTTTTTTCTGAGGACTTGCTTTCAATGGTGACTGCACCATGCGTTCCAATTCTTCAAAATTAGCCAAACTTTCATCCTGCATTTCAAGTATCCCAAAACCAGTCAAATTGAAAGCATTGCTTTTAACACGTATTTTTGGAACTATTGTATCATCTATAGCAGTTTGATGTAAATATTCTGGTGCAGTCTGATCAAAGATATTGAATTTATCTGATAAATTGTTCACGAGACCGTTCCAATGCTTTGTAGAACAAAGATCAGGTTTTTGTTTGCTTTCATCTTTTGGTGCAGGAATGTCTTTGCATAAAATAAATGAGTCTGTTGATTCTTCTAGAAGGACAACATCTGAGTCCCTGGAATTGTTAAATGAATCTGCCTCTGCAATTGATTTAGCATCTTCATCAATAGAGTCTGAACTACTATTTATAGAAATCACCTCATGGGTGTTTTCTATGGACAAATTAAGTAAAGATTTTTTGACAGAATTTTCATCAACTTTTTCTGACCCAAAATTTTCTGTGTTTTCTACAGACAAATTAAGTAAAGATTTTCTGACAACATTTCTGTGATCATCATCACATTTTTCTGAACTATCTTCCAAATCGAAAATTTCTATATTTTCTTTGGATGAATTTAACAAAGATTTTCTAACAGCATTTAAATCTTCATTAATTTCTTCTAAACTACTATCAATATGATTAAAATTTGCTGGGTTTTCTATGGACAAACCTAGTAAAGATTTCCTGACACCTTCATTTAAATCTTCATCAACCTTTTCACCAAAATTTCCTGGCAAAGATTGCCTGACAAGGTTTAAATCTTCAGTTGAATCTTGTTTAGTCAATAATAAAACCTCCGAAGACTTATTTCCAAATTGATTATTGTGTAAATCATCTTCTCCAAATCTGCTGGACATTTTTGTAGCTCCCGTGACACTGGTAACCGGTTTATCTTTTCTAAAATGATTGTTCTTTTATAACCCAATTGCAGTAATAATATTAACGTATATACTTTGATCACTGTTATAGATTATCTTAAAATGTAAATTATTTTAAATCTTTGTGAGATTATCTTATAGATTGCTGAAAATCTTGTAAATTGTATGATAATATTGTAGGATCGTATGAAATGTAGGATTGTCTCAAATTGTTGTAGGATTGTATAAAAATGTAAATTATCTGAAATATTGCAGGATTGTCTGAAATTGTTGTACGGTTATCTGAAATCATGGTGGATTGTTTGAAATCATTGAAGATTACTTTTAAATGTTACAGATTGTCTGATAATCTTATAAATAATTTGAAAATATTATAAGATTATCTGAAAATGTAAGAATGCCTGAAAATGTTGTTGGAATATCTGAAAGCATTGCAGGATTGTCTGAAATAATTGAAGATTGCAAGAAAATATTGTAAATTGTCTGAAAATCTTTGTTGTAGATTGTCTGAAATCGTTGTAAGATTTCTGAACATCTCGCAAATTGTCTGAAACAATTGTATATAGTTTGGAATCATTGTAAATTATAATGAGAATATTATCATTGTAGAATTGTCTGAGAATCTTGTAAAATTGTCTAGAGTCATTGTAGTACATTACTTTTAAATGTTGCAGATTATCTGAAATTGCTTTAAATCATGTGCATTGCTTGAAAACATTGTAGGATTATTTGAAAATGTAAGATTGCCTGAAAAAGTTGTTGAAAATTATCTGAAATCATTGTAGGATTGTCTGAAATAATTAAAGATTGTCAGAAAATATTGTAAATTGTCTGAGATAGTTGTAAAACTGTCTGAAATTATTATAGATCATCTGAAAATGCTATAGCTTATCTGGCAACCTTGTAAACGTTGTGGGATTTCTGAAAATCTTTATTTGAAATCATTGTAGGTTTATTATCTGAGAATCTTGTAGTATTGTCTAAAATCATTGCAAATTGTCTGAAAATACTTTAGATTGTCTTAAATTGTTGTAGCATTGCCTGATAATCTTGTAAATTGTCTCAAAGAATTCTAGATTGTCCGAAAACATTATAAATTATATCGATATCAAAGTAGATAGTCAGAAATTGTTAAAGATTGTATAAAATGTTGTAGATTATCTGAAAATCTTGTATAGCCTGAAAATACTTTAGACTGTCTTGAATCGAAGTAGCATTGTCTGATAATCTTGTAAATTGTCTCGCATAATTCTAGATTGTGAGAAAATACTATTAATTATCTGATATTATTGTAGATAGTCTGAAATTGTTAAAGATTGTATAAAAATATTGTAAATTGTCTGAAAATCTTGTAAATTGACTGAAATTGTTGCAGGATTGCCTGAAAATGTAGGGTTGTCTGAAATTGTTGTAGATTTGTCTGCAAATGTTTCAAATTGTCAAAAATGTCACAAGTGTAGTCTTTATACCAAACTAACAAGCCCAGAGGATTGCTCGTGATTTATTATAAATCAAACTTATAATTTATTATAAGATTTTAAAAAATATACACTTATTTATTACTACTCACTTATAATTTTCCATAACTCCAAGTGCTTTTCTAATATCGTTCAACGATATAGGGCCCATACAAACATCTTCTTCGTCACTAGTATCCATATAACGCTTTTGTAAAACAAATTCTGACTATTATAAAACACAAAATAATAATAAATAATTATTAAAACAACTTAAAAGGCGGTTGAACTGTCAGTTTTAAAATAAAACATAAAATGAATTAAGTTTGGTGTTGACAGATGAGATAATGTAAGTACAAGTTGAAAAAGTGTTACCATAGAAGAAATAATAGGTGGCTGTAAGTGTCAAACTTCACATCGCTTATGGCGTGACGTAAGGCAACCGCGCGCCATTTTGAAATTCAAATTCAAAAGCGCGAAATTTGAATTGAATTAGATGTAATTAGCATTTTCAATGCAAACTGGTGGTGTATGGCATCGTGCCTTAAGGCAAATTGCTGGAACTTCTCAATATACGAGGAATATTAAATGTTTTCAAATAGATTATTATAAATACTGTAACTTATATATGTTTACAGAAAAGTAAACATATCAATCGAATTTAAAAGTAGTCAGTGGTGTATGTATGGCATTGTGCCTTAAGGCAAATTGCTGGAACTTCCCGTACCGTATCGAAATGTTCGAGAAATATTAAATGTTTTCAAATAGATTATTATAAATACTGTAACATTGTCTAATATTTATAAGAATTATATAAACTGAATTGCAAAGTTAAAATTATTTATTTAAAGTATATAAGTGAGCTTTAGAACTTTAGCCAGAATTAAAATTAAAATCTGAATTATGTTCGATATACAAAATAATTTGAAATATTTTTTTTCCAAAAGCAATTGTTTCGTCAGCACAAGCAAAAAGTTTTTTTTGAATCATTCAAATCTCAAGCTTATTTATCTCAAAAGCAGCAATTTTTTGATCATTTACCTCGGTTTCTCCGAAACGGCTACACCTGCCTTTGCCAATAACTAATCACCATTTCTCCCCGTCATTCCGAATTGAATGTTTTTTGGATCATTCAAATCGGATGCTCCGTTCTCTCAAAAACTCGATTTCTATTTTCTGCACTCTTTGCTCCGTATCTCCGAAATGGCTGGACCTGCCTTAGTGAAAAACTGATCAGCACATCGTCCTGTCAGCAGGAATGGAATGATTCTTGAACCATTCAAATCGGTTGATCCGTGCTCCCTAAAACGTGAACAAAATATGTAACAGTTAATTACGAAGAAACGGCCAGGCTGATCTTTACCAAGAATCAATCAGCATGAATCCGAACTACAACCTTGTAAACAGTCTTTCTGAGTTTTTCAAATCAGTTCAGATTTTTTTGCAAAAATATGCAAAAAAAGTGTTTGCACTTTTCCGCTAACAATTTAGAAACGGCTGTGCTGATCGTTGTACAAAAGTAATCAATACGAGTCCTTATATAGTTACATCAATTGAAATTTAAATTTTGAAAATTGGTTCTGCGGGTTTGAGAAATCATCGACGAAAGGTCAAAAATCGGCTCACATATAGATAAACATACATATACTTTTTTCAAATTTTAATAAAATCAGCAAACCGGATTTTCTGGCAAAACCACAATCCTCTCCTATGAAAAGTTAATTAGCAAATCGGATTTTCAGAAAACATGTAAAAGTTTGTAGTTCTTTTTTCGATGGTGAAGTTAATAAAATTCCTTTTCTTGTCTATTTTCAGGTCAAAAATGGCGAGACATGCGCTCAACCCTCAGTCCAGCATTCACAGGCAGCAAAATGCGAAACATGTTCCAACTAGTGTTAAAATCTGCCCAACAAATGGCTCTGCATTTAAAAAAAGAAACAACAAAAAATGGTACCACCTATACATATATATCTTGCCCTACCTCATCAATTCCCTTGATTATTCTTCTTTTTTTCAGGCTCCGTAACTTTGGAAATGAAGAGCCTGTTCACAAAATATGCAAATGATGTGATTGCCAGTTGTGCTTTTGGTCTGGAAGTGGATTCTTTGAGGAATCCTGAAAACGAATTTTATAAATTCGGGAAGAAAGTTACTGGGTTTGGAGGTCTGGATGCCCTGTTGAGGTTCTTGGGCTTCAATTTGGCACCATCTCTTATGAGGGTGAGTTGGTAGAAAGGATATATGATACAAGATAATCTTAGGAGAAAAAGATGCAAATCAGCTTGAAAGGTAGAGATATCTTATTTTGGCAAGGATGTTCTTGGAAAATCCATTTGGTTGTATTGATCAACGTCACAATGCAATTTTAGGCTTGAACTTACTCAAAAATAATCTTAGGAGTAAAAGATGAAAATCAGCTTGAAAGGTAGAGATATCTTATTTTGGCAAGGATGTTCTTGGAAAATCCATTTGGTTGTATTGACCAACGTCACAATGCAATTTTAGGCTTGAACTTACTCAAACAATCTATCCCCATTGATAAGACCAGAATAATACCATCTACCAAAACACATCAACCATAAAAATTCAAGACAAAACGTGCACATTTTTCATCACTAATTTTTTTTAAGTTTTGGTATTCAACTCTCTTTGCTTTTCCCCTTAGGCTTTAAACATCAACTTCCTGGACAAACAAACCATGAGATTCTTCCGCAGTCTGGTACACGACACAATGTCTACACGAGAACTACAAAAAATCTCCAGACCAGACATGATCCATTTGTTGATGCAAGCACGAAAAGGAACTTTAAGGGACGAAGATAATGCCAAAAGCGATTCGACCAGTGCCAAAAGAGGTAACAACCTTAAATTTGACCATATTTTGTCCTTTTAACCAGTTTATTCTATTTTTACCAGATTGGTCCGACGATGAATTGACAGCACAAGCCTTGATTTTCCTCATAGCTGGTTTTGACACGACGTCAACGTTGTTGATGTTTTTGGCTTACGAATTGGCGTTGAATCCAGAAGTACAAGAATGTTTGCAAGAGGAAATCGACAGTATTTTTAATGCTGATGGTGATGAAGGCTTGACGTACGAAAAGTTAGCAAAGGCTACGTATATGGATATGGTGATATCTGGTAAGTGGATCAAGGATAATGGACATTTTTGGTCGTAACTTTTGAACGCGTCAAGATAATTGCAAGCAGTTTTCGGCAGAATTTAGAGAATTAAATTATCTACAAGCTTTTTCTTGTAACAACGCTATGTATTAATTTTTTTTCTATTGCACCTAAATCTCATTTTAATTGGTGCAATGCTTCACGCGATACGAAAATAACAATTTGAACACTAATATTTTTCATTGTTTTTGTAGAAACTTTAAGGAAATGGCCACCTGTAGTCTTCCTGGACAGAATATGTTTAAAAGACTACGAAATCGAAGATAACATTGGCAGAAAATACACGGTGAGTATATAAATTAACCCACTGTACTATCCAAAGTTTTAAAATCGTTTGTGCATTTATTTACAGAGTTATTACTTGTTTTAAAATCGTTTGTGCATTTATTTACAGAGTTATTATTTGTAATCAGCAAATTGTTCCAAATTAAAATATTTACTAAAGTGTCCAATAACACAAAACCTACAAATTGGTATATTCACAAAAAAGCAATAGAAATTAACAAATCACAAAAAAGAATTCATTTGTTTTCCTCTTAATCAATTTTCTTATTTCTAAAGGTCAAAAGGGGCGAAGGTGTCCTTTTCCCAGTTTACCACATTCACAGAGACCAAAAATATTTTCCTGATCCAGAAAGATTCGACCCTGAACGTTTCAACGATGAAAACAAGAAGAATATACAACCTTTTACTTATATGCCTTTTGGGGTTGGCCCCAGAAATTGTATAGGTAAGAAATAAATTTTTTTGTTCTGTAACATTAATGTTAATATTACATAACACATGTTACTTTATATTGGAAGAGTATCAACGCTAAAAAAAAAACAAAGAAACTTATAATATTCTTAAAAATATTTAAACAAAACCCACCTCTTAGCTTATCATCAGTCATCTAGGTTTTTCTTTTTCAGGATCAAGGTTTGCCCTGATGGAAACCAAAGCAATGCTCTTCATCATCCTGAGTTCATTCAATTTTAGAACCTGCCTGAAGACTGAGTATCCTTTGAAGTTGTCAAAGAGAGACTTTGACCTGGTTCCTGCCAATGGAGTTTGGGTTGATGTGGAACCAAGGAAAAAATAATAGTTGTTGAATAGCTAAAATAATAATGATAATTAATGGAAATTGTTGTTAATTGTTTTTTAACTATTTTTATAATATTTTATAATATTTTTTAAAATAGATAACCAAGATGTATATTTTTAAATATAAAAATGTTTAAGAAAAGATTTTAATAGGTTTGAATATTTTTTATTGTTATTATATATCTATATATATATATATATATATAATATGTTGTATAAATATTTAGCTAATAGTTATTTCTAAATTCGTTTATATAAAAATTATTTTAAACCTTGACTAGAACATAAATGTTTGCGTTAATAAATATTTATGACTTAACAATTATATTATTATATTTTTGCGATTATAAAGGTTCAGCTTTAATACATTTTATTTATTTAAATATTTAAAATAAACTTTATAAATTTACTTGTATTTTCCAAAAAAAATCATGAGTGCTTGCCATGTCGAACCTAATCTAATCAAAGCTTTCTCGTAAGAATATGTTTTACAGTTATTAAAAATATATAGGTATAAGTGGTATTTTGACTTAAGGCAAGTTACACATACTTTTGATTTGTAAAAATAATCCATTAAATGGATAAAAATTAAGTTTGCAAATTTATTTAAAATTTGGTCTTTTTATTCATGTAGACCAGTGATTTTCAAAGTAGTCTATGAAAACTTTTAAGGGGCTCACATCAGCGAAAAGAAATATTAGACATCCACAATAGTAGATCACAATACACCTTGCTATTTTTTTTATTATCATTTTAAAGTCAATTAATTAATGTCTAAACTTGTATTGAATCTTGAAATTTGAATATTGAAAGAGAAATTTATTAAATACACGATATTGGCTAAATAGGGGGTCCATGGAAAAGCCTTAAGGAGTCCACAATACAAACAAGTTTGGAAACCTGTGAGGTAGACAAAAAAGTTTGCTCTCATTTTCTAATTAAATAAAGACTCAATCGATCTTTTCTTAAAACAAATCAATGCGAGTTTATATCAAGTGGCTTTCAAAAAGTCAAATTTTGTTACACATACTTTTCTCAATATCGGTGTCAAACGATTAAGAATGACTAGAATTCACAAAATTAAGAAATCTGATTTTCTGGCAAAAGTATTAACTTCTTATTCTGGGAGTTGAATAATTATAATTAGATACAGACAAGTATAAACAATGGCGTAGATCAAAATGTAAAAATATATTATAGCTGAACCTAAATATTTATATATATATATATATATTATATATTTCCTGTGTATATATTATATATTATTGAGCATTTAGTAAAGACATCAATATAAATAAACAATATTAAATTGTATACATTTATATATAATATCTAGTTGCCATTACTTTTAGCAATAAACAATAAATCTAGTATTTCATTAAATATATATATATATATATATATATATATATATAATACTAATAATATATTTCCTACATTCATCTAATAACATATTGAATAATATCATCAGTCGCCTTAATTCTATGTTAAAATAGGAACAATTAAATTTATTAAAATATTTTTATATATATAATTTATGAATAAAATATAATATATAAAAAGAAATGCTTTGGAATATATTCGTAATTATTGCATAAATATATAAATTTATAAATAAATATAATATGAAAACTTATCATCTTTTGACTGAATAATCTTTATGCCTTAATTATATAGGGTGTTCTCCTTAATATTGATATTTTCGAAATTTTTTGCTCCGAAGGGCTCAAATGCTTCCAAAATTATACAAAAAAAATTCTGTGAAAGTTTTAGCTCTTAATATTAACCATAAGATAGTCTGCATTCCAACCAAAGTTTCTTATGGAAATAAAATGAGTAAAATTCCATTTGTTTTTTAGAATTATATAACTTAGTGACAAGTGAATCAAAATTTTGAGAATAACATTGAATTTGCTTATTTTGATCATAAATAGAAAATGTACAACAAAATTTTGATATTCTATAAAATAAGTATTTATGTATAAAGATGAACCAAGAAACTTTGGTTGGAGTGCAGACTATTTTGAAGTTAATATTAAGAGCTAAAACTTTAAGAGATATTTTTTTCATAAATTCAGAAGCATTTGAGTCTCTGGAAACAAAAAAATTCGAAGATAGCCATATTAAGGACCATCCTAACATTTATATATAGTCTGTATAACAAGTGATGACATTAAATTTGAGATAAAAAAGTTATTTGTAAATAAAATATTATATATAAATAGCCTTTTACTAAATGTATTAAATAATATTATATTACCATCCACTACCACTTCAAGACTTTGGTTTCATGTCATCATCAGCAAAATCAGCAATACAACTCACCTTCCAACTTCTCCATATAAAATCATCTATAATTAATCTAATCATCTTATCTGAATTATTCAATTCCAAAAGTATTGGTCTCTTCAACAGCCAAAAGCAGTTTCTCATGCAAACCTCTGGAGTGGCATAAGGAGGCAGTCCAAGCGATTGAAACAAGTGTGAGCCCTGGGTAAACTGTTTGGTTTGCCCACTTTTCTATACAGAACCTAAACGGTAAAGGAAAGATATAAATATATATTTTATTTTAATGCCAGTTATCCTATTGATGATAATTACAATATATTTTTACATATGACCATTACCTTCTAGGGCCAGTAGAGCCTCTCAATGAGCTAAATCCTTCATAAGGTATACTGCTGGTTCCAGTAACAAATTGTAAAAGTCTTAATCTCTGCTCATTTGTGAAACGTTCCTCGATGACTTGCCAGAACCATAAAATAACCTGATGGAGAAACAATTTATGTACAATTTTGTAGGAAAACAAAGTAGGAGGCAAATGGCAATATAATATTACATCTTCAAGCATTTGCAAAAATATTAAATATATAGTAGTTAAAAACCTTTTTTTTAGTAAGGCTTATCATGCATGCCTAAACCTATGCAAAAATGTGTGGAAAAGCTTTGTGTTAGGCTTAGACAGCATGGTGAGCATTCACAAATGATTTCAAAATTTTAGAACTAATTCTTAAAGAAATTCATATTTTTCATTGATGTTATACCTTATTATTAGTCTAAAATATACCTGATGTGCGTCATGATATCCACTTCTATATTCCGTATTCTGCCGCCAATCCAGAACATCAATTCTGCAGTACCTATATAAATATAATTCACATAATTATAGAACTCTACTGATGAGCAAACTAAATATCGCCTTGACCAAAAAAACAAGTGAAGTATCTGGACAAAATAAGTGAGTTTGTATTATTGAATTATTTACCAGCAATGACCAATTCCAGTTCCCGGGCATCAAAAACAGAAACCAATCTGGCGTCAACAACTTCATAAAATCCACGAACTAAAGATTCCGTCTGTTCAGCAACACCGCGTTCCAGTCTCCATCTCACCATTCTTTCTAAATATTCCTGAAAAAATTTAATAGATTAGATGGATTGTAATGATTGGATGTGTACTTGGTCCAATACTGACTTTTTTGTTCTTTTCTGTGACTTGGACGTGTTTACCACCAGGTTTCAACTCTCTTTCGACGACTCGTCCAAGAAGTTCTTCGGTTACACAGAAATTCAACTCAAGAGCACCTCCAGTTCCACCTTGGCCCAGGTCGTTCTCCCGGATCCACTGTAAGGATTGGTGGAACTCACTGTCTAAGGATTCTGAAAAATTAAATTTTTATAGAAAATTATCATTATCATTAAATTTAAAAAATCGTGAGGTTTTTGCAATTTACCTAAATCGCTCAAGGCTACTGGTAGCCTTAAGAGCGCCTTGTAGAACGGCCTGGTGAAAAAGGCGTCTAGAAGATACTGGTGCACTAAGGCCAAGCCTAAAACTCTGCCGCTAAAACGAAACCTGCAAACAACACCAAGCATTAACCATTTATTTACCACATTTTCTGTAATATGATCTATGCACCTCTCACTTACCAATCGTGACAATTATCTACATAGGCGCTTGCTGGTGATACTTGTACAGTGTAAGTATCATTGGCGGAATATTCGAACAAACCATAGTAAGGGTTGAACAATTCCCTCGAGAGAAGGAAGAAAAATTCCCTGGAAGGTCCTCCATAATCCAGCCCTTCTTCGCCATCCCACAAAACTGCCAGACGACCCTTTTGGAGGTCCTTCTTGGCGCAGGACATGACTCGCCTGAAGGCGTCCTCCAGGAGACGGGATCTTCTGATGTGCAACCTGGGTAAAGGACATTTGTTTATTGTTTCTGTTGAAACCAATCGATTAATATTATTGATGCATTCGGCAGATTGGTGCACAATTAAATAATTTGCAATATATATTGCAGACAATATTGGCAGAGAGTAGAAAATATTGGCAGAGAGTAGACAATATTGGCAGACAGTAGACAATGTTGTCTAACAACATTGTCTAGACAGTAGACAATATTGTCTAGCAATATTGTCTAGACATTTAGACAATATTGCCTAACAACAAAGTGCTCCCCATCAATTCTTTTAATTCCATTATCCCTTACTTCAACTTATGAGGTCCTTGTCCGTATCCCTTGCTCTCCAATTTCCTATAAAAAGCCCTCAATTTCGCCTCGAAGTCTCTCCTGTAAGGTGCTGGTCCTCTGCAGGGGCCTCTTTGGATCGACACGGTCGACTGTGAGGTCTGATTGGGACTTGAATGGGTTCCTTGCTGGTTAGAGGCGCTTTGAGAACCTGTCAGGGCCTGAGGGGTGCTTGAATGGGTCTGCTGAGTAGGCACATAGCTCATTATTTCTTGCTCGAAGAGGCTGAGGAATGGTAAAAGAAATATTTTGAATAAAAATATTGAATTGTAATTCACAGTTTGGAATATTTTGAGATATTTTAACTATTTGAGGTATTTTGTGATATATTCAGACATTTTAGTGCATTTTGAAATATTTTGAGATATTTTAAGATTATTTGTTACACTTTGATAAATTCAATGCATTTTGAACCAATTTGAAAGACTTTAATTTATTAATATTTAATAAATTAATTATTAATAT